ATGATTGATACAGATTTTATGCTACTTGCCTTTTATGTAATCTATTAATTGTGTTTAAATAGAGGACGTGGTCCTCGGTATTTGGTAACCTAGAAACATAAGAAAAACATTCTGCTGTGTTTACGAATAATAACTGGCTGATTTCTTCCATCTTCCTCCTTCTTTCAGTTTTTTCTCTGTGATGATAAACAGAACGAAGTAAATCACTCATCAATATAGTCTCTCGTGTTCATGTAATGTAGTTAATCATTGTGCTCCAACATTGGCTTGTCCCTCTTCATTATTAGTTTACCTTCTTCTTTGTTCGTATTTTATATTTGAAAATGCTCATTCAATTATTGTTATTACATAGATCATGTCACTCCTGCCTACATCGATACTGTGCAATGTGGCTTCCAAAAGAAACTGCGCGATAAGTTATTGCAGAAGCAGCTTGAGCTAGAAAAGCACAAAACACAGTCTTCCGTAGTGCAGGCTCAGATGGAGGCCGATATTAAAGAGTTGGAGGAGCAGTTGAATGGTGGCGCTAGGGCTGATACTGTCCAAGAGAAGACCTTGGATTTTGAGATTGAAGTACGGACAAATGTATTATGTTAATATTGTTTCTTTAAAATGAATTATTGTATTTAATTTTAAAATATGTAATTAAGTCTTTTACGTTTGTAATATGACAGGTGGTTACATATCCTACAAAGGAAAAGGAGGTCGAAGATGACAATGCGACTTTAGATGGACCGTCTCCTTCAGTCGTTGCTTTCTATAACGAACTGAAATCCACTGCGCTCACTCCTAATGTCGCTTATTCATTTGAGTTGAATCCAGGCATTTACGGGACAAAGATGCGATGTTGGTTCGAGAGTCAAGATTTCACAAGTTTTTGTTTGATGGAGGAGATTTCATCAAACTGCATCTTGTTATGTCAAACGTAAGTCATTTTCAGATTTAATGTTGTTATCTTGTTATCTTGTTAGTTCATATACTTCACTATATTTTTTGATACAAACTTAATTCCATTTTTCATCTAGATACTTGTTTCGTAAGCTCAAGGAATTAAGTTTAACCAACAAGTACGCTTTTATTGACCCAACAATTGCATCAAGGGGTTCGGGCACGACGGGGAATAGAGCCCGAGATCTCAACTCTAAATTGGGAGTTCTGGTGCCCGGTCAGTTGGCACTTGTACCCTTTAATGTAGGGTAAGTATTTTGTTATTTTAAACTTCGACTTTTTATTGTTATAGATTGTAAAGATATTTTTTCTAAAATTTTATCGACTTTCTCAGAATGCATTGGGTACTACTTGTGATAGACCCCTATGCCAACACAGTACACATATTTGATTCTCTAAACAAGGATGTGCACCAAGAGATCAAAGACGTCCTTGATCCGTAAGTTTATACATACATAATAGTATAATTTTCAAACCGATAAATTTGTTATCTAAGTGATGATATTTTTCCTACTAACTAGAATTTAATGCATGTATGCTCATATATTTATATCGAAAACAGGGCATTCAAACTTTTTGACGCCGCTAAACAGTTGAATTTGCACGAGACAATTTCTTACGAAATTGTA